GATTTGAAGGTATCCTACTTGTACGCGAATTACGACGTCAAAGTATACTGTACAAGGCGCCGTATACGATGTACAGCTCGCCAGCCCAGACACGCCGCGTCGTACGACTTGAGATTATTTTCAAAACTGCCGCGCCGCGCCGCGCCGTTTTCAAAACGGTTCGAAGTCGCGGCACCGCGGCGCGGCGAGGAGCGCGGCGCGGAGCGCGGTACCGCGCGTTCCCCCAGTTCTCAAGTGTTCCCCATCGGCCGATCGCACAGACTTGGATCTTCCGCCGACGAGGGTGGCGAGCAAGCCGGCATTCTCTATTGCGCTCGAGGTCGCTTGGGCTCTTGAAACTGTGTTTTATTACCGTTGGGAGGGCTCTCGCTGCGGGGCTCGCTCAGAGCTTGGGTTCGGAGTAGGCAGCGCGGCAGCCTCGACCGAGGCGCTTGCTACATTCCCGGCCGGGCCGGGCCAGTCGTATCTTCCCAATGCGCCCACCTCGACCGCTCGAGAGGTCCGCTTGGATCGGCGGACTCGACGGCTTCTTCCCCAAGGGGCGCCTGGCGCGCCTGACGAGGGTGGCGAGTATGTCGCCCCAGTCGGTGCTCTTCCTCGCGTGCGAGATCGCCTCGTTCGACAACCGTCGGCGCCTGGCCATAGCCAACTGTATCTTTCGTAGCTTCATTCATGTAGACACGGCACCAATGCGGAAACTCCTCGATCCGCCTTATCCCACCCTCCCTGACTGTGTCTTTGTCCCTTCCTGTCAGCTCCGCGCCGAAACCTCCCTCCCGCATTCCATGCGCCTACTCGATAAGCACGCTCCATCTCGCACTTGTCAACTCTTTCATAGATACTAACTATACTTCACGTCTCGCCTCTGATTCTCTCCGTCGTGTTGGACATATGCAGCCCTGTTAGTCCCGCGCACACATTGCAAACGTCGTTACGGTCCCCATTGTGTGCGGTTCCCAATGAGCTGTTGCTTGTCCACAGAGAGGCACTGAAGACTGCCGTACCGTACTTGAATTACCATGTGACCGTCTGATTTCTCATCTTCACTCGCTAGTAAAACGATCATTTTTGTTATCATGTCGCCATTACATAACAGTTATACATGCCTCATGTGCATGGTTGCCCGTCTGGATGTTGACTCTTACCACCATCTCTTATCACAATGTCGGACTACGACGCCGAGTCAGACGACTCTCTGGATTCGAATGCTCGATTCGATGCTCAACGCCCTGGCCGTCTGCGCCGTGCTGAAAGGTTCTTGGAGCGTCGTGTCCATGAACATGGGGTGCAGGTTGCCGTGCAACGCAAGGCCCGGGAGGCTCTCCGCCAAGCAAGGACCTTAGAGCAAAACCTCTCCCGCTACAAAGCGCCATTTTACAAGATATTTCAACTTGAGCGTAGAGGCCTTGACTCGAGCGTGATGAGACATCGCGCTGCATATGCTGCTGGGATTAAGGCGAAGGAGGCAAAGGGTGTTTGGAGAGACGAACACACGAAGGCTAAGGCTACACTTACGCTCTGTAAGCAAGCCAATGCATATGTGAATTGTCTGGAGCAAGAATCGGACGTGAGTGGAACAACTGATACGTGAGCTCCTTAGTCTCTCTGACTTACAGTAATCATCAGGTTTATTGCCCTGCGGGTACTTACTGCTGCTCGGATTGGTCAACAGACTCATCAGGCGAGACCGATCTTGACGACATTCAACACCCCGAGCCGGGCTTAACCAGGAAGCAAACCCTTTGGCGCCATCGCGAGATTCACCGCGCCCACCGAGCACGGGAGCAGATGCTGGAGGAAGCTTTAACAGATGAGTATCATGAAGATTCAGAGGAGGGCAGCGTGGATCGAGAGGATAGCGGCGTTCAGGCATAGATGGCGAAAATTCTCACTATTCGTCACACGTGTGGCTGAAGGTGCACACTGCGCCACGGAGATCCTACCAGTTTGCCCATACCTAGTAACAGCTCTCGCCCATACTTGTTCGTATCTCGACCATCCCACTGCAAATATTCAGATACACGCAGCGCTACGCTCTTTTTGCCTTGACAATGCCAACATTACAATCTTAGGAATTCACGTCGCACTATGTCGCGAGCCGGGCTAGTGTACAACAAGTGCACAACTTGAAGCCCAACAGGATCTAGGTTAGCCTCAAGTTCGACTAAGACCTGTCGACCTGGATACGAACACCGTCGCCGCCCACATTTGGCCCACATCCTGATCTCCCACCACTTCTACTAAGTAACGGCCGATTGTGAATCGATAATAGTACTTCAAATCATATTTATGCTTGAATCCGTATCCACATGTGTGCAGCTCGAAGACAATCTGTCGGTGGCCCGCGCACGTTATCTGCGGGTTCTAACAGGACGAGCACCCACACTGGTTGACACAGGGCGAGATTAGCACCAATAGACTTGACCGCCCGGCGCAAATTACCTAGCTTGGCTAGGTTTCCTGCCCTCAAAACCTGTCCAGGCATTGCCCAACCGGGGTTTGCCGCACCGCGACGCGGGATGACGCAAATAATTGATCCGGTCTCGATCTCAACACAACGCGGCGTCGAGCCAACGTCGAGCCAGCCTTTCGTACAGGAAATAACAGGGATCAAGTCAACGCTACATCAAGTACACGGCGAGTGCATAGCCCAAATGGGGGGAAGTACGGTCTCCGAGCGCGAGCCTCGTCGAGTCAACATGCTTACCAGTACCGACGTGCGCGGGGGCCGCGCACTGCCGCGCAAGCAGTAAACGTCGACACCGGGTTCGGCGCATATACGCGACGAACTGGACACTATGAGTGCCGCGCGCAACCCAGACGTTACAGAGCAAGGGAACAAGCTAGGTTCCTGCTGACGGAGTCCAGCGCTCTAGTACCCGGACGGTCGGTTAGTACTTAGTCTCCATCGGCCCAAGGGGCGCAAGTCCGCTGACATCCTTGTATCAATGTATGCCATACATCCCGCCCCCGCGCGCTCACGGTGGAGCCGAACCGGAGCCAATTGCCATTCAGCTGTCGCATTCACCGTCATCCTCACACCCACGGGCCACACATTCCGACGCAACCTAGTCCTTATTACTCATGGCGACAGGCACCGTATGTGCTGTATCCGCCGTCGGCTTTCGCACCAGCACCAGCTTCAACGCGATCACATTATACCCGCCTTTGCCCGCATCTTCCGTGTCACGTCCCCCGACGTCCTACCATCCAGCACAAGCCCAATCCTCTTCGCATCACAGCGTAGTACCACCATCTCCCTCCCAGTCTACGCGCTCTTGCGCTGAGTCATCACATAAAGGCACCATCATACCCCACGCCCCCTCGCAGCATACTCAGATGGCTGGCGCGCCGTTGGTCGGCGGTTCGAGCGCGCACTCCCTACATGGCTATTCCTCGCAGTCGCGGATGAATTTCATTCCTCAAGCACAGACGCCCTCACATTCAGGCTCACGAGCGGCAACTTTACCTACAACACTCTCAACAAAGTCACTCGCAGTCGACTCCAATTGTCTCGCCCTCGCCAGTGCACGCCTTTGAGGCCGAGAAGCAGTCGTCTTTGCTGGAGCCTCCGCACGAGCAGCATGTGGCACCGGACAAGCCAGAAGACATCCGTGCCCACGATTAGGGTACGCCAGTACCTAGAGAAACGACACCCATTCTCGTGCATAGGACGCCGCCCGCCAAACCAAAGAGTCTACATGATGTGCCAGCCCCTGAAGCGTATCATCCTCGCCAGGCCACTGCATCCGGATCAGTGTCTCGGAAATCGACACGTTCCGCGTCTCGACACAGACACCACGTTACGGCGCCCTTGGAAGGGCCACCACCAGTCGCGAGCTCGGCGCGCTCGGTGACTCGAAAGCCGCCTGCCATCATATACGCCACCTCAAACGCGGATGGCTCCTACGAGCAGTTCGCACCTCCGAGGATCATCCATCGCTCGCAGCTTTCCCCCACCTCTCGCTCACAGCCGCACCTAGCGAGCGGTTCGGGATCCATGCATGATCGCAGCCCGCCGTGTGTAGTGCCTTCAATCTCGGACCCGTTACCAGTACCACCACCGCCTGCTGGTCCCAGTCAGACTGCCGATGCACCCATACCGCAAGGACGATCTTCTCAATCTCACTCGAGCGGCCATCGATCAAAGTGTACCAGCCGTTCTCGCGAAAAAGCAGACGGATGGGGGAGACTCCGCGCTTCTCGAGTGCTCAGGCCCGAAGAGCTGCCGCCCGACCCAGTTCCTGCGTCACCATTCACCTTTGCGCGACTACCGCGATTGCCAGGATGTAACCGTACTGCGCCAATACCGCCACCGCCACCTCCTCCCAGGCCACACCAAGCTCCGTGCCTGCCTCCACACCCGCATGTGGCATCGTCGCAAGAGTGCGAGCTCAGGCGGGGGCGTCGCTGGAGAAAGCTATCTTCTCCGAATGATGACGACGGTCAAGAGAGTGAGAGCAGCAGAAGTACCCATTACATTCTGCCAAGTCCCGGGCAGAAAGTCTACGTCGTCGTGAGTGCCACGACAATGTATGTCGGAGACCCGCTGAAAAATTGCAGGGTCACCAGATGATTTTGACCTCACACATAACCATGTGCCGCCACCAGAATGGGAGCATCATTCGCACACGCTACCCCGCCGCTCATACCGGCCAACCGTCCTCATTTTCACAACTATTGCACGGACATACTGTTGCGCCAGCTCCACCGCATGCGGTTGCACCTCCTCCGGTTCTGTCAGGATCGGCACCCACCCTACTTGTCCCGCCTCCGCATACAAATGCGTTCACGAGCATGCGCAACCGCCTGTATGCACCGCTCGGCATGCAGCGATTGCGCTCTGGCGGTGCTGCAAATGTCCTGACCGCTCCTGTGCCACCGCCGCCCATTTTGGCAACCGAGGTTCAGGTTGGTATCGTCTTTCAAGTTCTACGAACACCTCCACCGTCTCGCCCACCTTTCTTCTCTTAGCTGAGATCTTCATCGTCTCTATTAGACCTTCCATGCTGATGCGCATATAGCCGCAGGAACCGCACCGCAAGTCTCTATTGCAACGTATTTGGACGCACAGATTGGAGGATGAGCGTGGTCGACAAGAGCAAAGCTGACAGGTTCGTACGTCCATCTCTTTCTGAGGAAGCTATTCGGCTCACAATGTTGCATAGCTGTCAGGTTCCCCACGTTCCTACATCGCCTGGCGCGCTTTTGGCAATCACTTTCACCATTCCGTCCCTAAGCGCCCACACAATTTCCGATTGTCTGCCTTCATGATTGAAATATCTTCGCCTTCTCCCGCATTGATCTACACTTTACGACTCCATGATCGACTCTGCTGTCTTGTCTACGCTTGACCTTGGTCATAACCTTCGTAATGCCACACAGGCCTCGTGCCTCGTATTTTCATTTTGCCCGCTTCTTCAGGCAGGGCTCGCTCTTCATCTAGGTATGCTACGGAGAAAATGGTAAGGTCGAAGCGCCCGGGGGGCAGTGACATCTGCTTCGAAACGATAGGCCACCTGGGGGTCCTACACATACAGACCGTTTGCCCCGCTTTGCTCCACACGTGCCACAGCGACGTTGACCGCGATTCTCGCTCGCGCTGCTTTGCGAGTTCTTCATACCCTACGAGTTGGCCGGTTGTCGCGAGGTGCGACTACAATGATATCGTGTCCTTCCTCCTCTTTTGACATCCCGACGCGCGCGAACATGTTCGAAGGGATCCTCAGTCTCGCCGACCGTTTGGACCAACAATCCAAGGACACCAGTCAGGATACTGTGCGCATGGTAGTTGTGGCACCTGTTGCTCTTCGAGAGATATGCTGATCCCACACAGATGCTCGCTGATGAGATATAAACACGCATACAGAAGCTTGACCACGCGACGCGACAGTGCGAAGCCAGGACAAAAGAGTTGCGGGACATGCAGTACAAGATCACAGACGACGAGAGTGAAGCGAGCGCCATGTACAAACAATTGCGGGCGGCCGAGGAAGGAGCCGTGTCGCAGCCAGGGGGTAAAGATGGACGAGGACGCAAGAAGGTCGAGGAGCTGCACAGTGAACTTGATGACTCGCGACGCGAGAATGGTCGGATGGCGGCATCAATGGAGGAGCGTGAGCGGGCGGCCCAGCACGCTTATCGCGAGCGTGACGAGATGGCACAACTCCTGGCGCAACGAAGTGCTGAGCTCGAGGCGGCACAGGCGTTCCTCCCACGGTCTGAATCGGTCTCCGATAGTGATATTGTTGAGCTCGTCGAGGCTCCCGACTATGAGATAATGCAGGCGGTGACAATCGTAGCGGAGTCTTTCGACGGAGCCCATCGTATAGCGGCCTCACCCGAGACTTATGCCGCAAAGCGGAAGGTGAAGGTATTGTGAAGGTGTATGGGCCGAATATCGCGCGTTTACTCCTTACGCCCTACGACGGGGACCTCATTCTCTCCCTGCGCATTGCGCTACACACTGCGCTGGCACGTCAAGCCGATGCGTATATTATACGCTGGTGCAATCGCGATTCGGCTTCGTCGAATGCCTTGTGTAAGATCATGTGCCTGGTGCGCGAAAGAGGTGGGTAATTGTTGACTGACTGGTAAGTATACAACGTCTGACCATGAATGCCGTCAACACAGTGACAGAACATGTCGCAGTACGCTGGAGTGAGCTCGGGCATAAGTAAACCAAAGCAACCATCGACAAGGGCATCACAGCGAATGTAATCACTGCTGATATATCGGCGCACTGGGCAGAGGTGCTGTCAACAGCTGGATACGGCTCGGAAGGCGATAGCACGTACGGGCAGTCCCTTGAGACATAGCGCGCCGGCAAACAACTCGAGGAGGTATCCAAGCTCGTCTTGGAGTTGAACGAGGTGATTGGGCAAAAGGTGACGCGCGGTTGGCTAACTTGCAGCTTCGCTGCATGAAAGTGGAAGATGGGGTGCCATTCGACCCGAGCACGATGGAGGCGGACATTCAGGACGATACCGCGAACGGAAAAGACCAAACACCGGCATATGTTGTCTTGCGCACAAGCGGTATCGGTCTTAGGCGCGCGGAAGGAGGTGTAGTGACTCAATTTGAAGCCGAAGGTCGCCGTCATGCCCGCAGGAGATTCACGGTAGAATCTATATAAGCCTCGCATATTCTTGCGTACTTATGGAAGCTTGTGTTGCGCACAGTGAGCTTATACAGAGATGTGAAGTGTCATATTGGTACCCAGTGCCACGGAGGTAGGAGTTCGGCGAGAAGTGCGAGGAGCGCGCACGTCGCGACAAGGCGGCGGGTGTTGGGCGGGCGGGACAAGTGCCGCCGGCCCGGGATGAACCTCCACTTCGAATGAGGACGCTGACTACGTACTCAAGTATCAGCTAAGGTACCGAGTATTGTTCACTTAGTTGACGGTATGTAAATGGTGATACAACAGGGAGCAGTACAGGCGGAAGAAAGGTACAGCAACTACAAGAATACAACCCAATATCTGAACACCCACATCCCGGTCACAGGTCCGACCTCACTACATCGCCACGGTCACCGCGAAGTCGTCGTCGTAGACTACCGACGCAGGACCACTGTATACCAAGTCAGTATAGCGCGCATCTCTTAACCCACCGAAATATGCTTACACTCGCTTCACACCCTTCTCCTGCCATGTCATGTGCGCCTTCAACTCCATGAGCCCGAACGACAGTACGACGACATAATCCCGGCGGCAATGATCACCGCGCGCTCCTCATTGGAATGTCTTTGGAATGCGTGTGGCGTCTGCAGATATCGTGCATAGTGTAGAGAATAGCTCTGCATGGTTCCTCAGTATCAACGCATAGTTGAATAGGCGGATGTTACTGACCGGGTTACTCGTCCGTCCAATTCAGGGACCGATCGCCGCGGCAACAAGCCAGCCAACTCACAGTCTATCCTGTCCACCCCGAAGCGAGAAACGATATGGAATGGACGCTCAGATTCGGTATCTTCCGTCACCTGGGTCTCCTATTGATACGCACCCGAATGAGCATCAAAATCAGCCGGGCCAGGTCAAGTACAGGCCTGGCTGGGGACAGACTGGAAGCCGTCGTTCAATATCTCAATCCCGTCGGGCGAGATGAAGATTTTGTGTACATGCTGCGTGTAGTCCGAGAGTTCCTTGTCGTAGACATGCGCACAGCGCGAGCCGTATGTCACCTTCGCGACGCGGGCAGAAACGTAGTGGTCCAAGTGGAAGGATACGACTCCTTCAGTAACTGACTTATTCCTATAGCGCAACATCAGGGCATTGTAAATGGTATGGTGAAGATGATAGGCACGTACGCGTGAGTATTCGGGCGGAAGAGATTTAGTCCCGCGGTGTCCGAGTACAGCATGAACTTCGAGTAGAGGTACTTGCTGGCGGCGAAGCCGCCCACGAGGCGGTATATCTATCATGCTATGAGCTCGCGAGTACCTGAGTTGTCGTAAACGTGATTCGTACAGGACTCTTCTCGCGCGCGCGAGCCTGTTGGTCTTCGACCGCGACGATGATCTCACGGGTGGCCGGATCGAAGAAGTTACATAACTCACCGCTATGTGCGAAAGATCCGTACTCGGCCACTTGAACGTCTGTGACGCCGCAGCGAGTGTTACAGTACGATGAGGGCTACGTCAATCAGCTTTCTTTCTGCAACCGTGCACCCTCTTCTGCTCTTTCCAGTCTTCGAGTTGGCATTCCTTGCCACAAAACAAGGCACAGCCGCTGCAAGAGCCTATGGCGTGACATGAACAAAGTGTTGCAGTTTCACGGATTCAGCGTGGCTCACCTCTACACCGCTTCCAGCTTTGACCTGTTGAGCCGCAAGTGGAACATTGCTGCCACGGGCCAGCCTTGGCAGAACGCACCTCTTCTACTACGTCGAAGTCCTCGAAGAACCCGTTCATGACGTCCACCTTGAGCTGCCGGATGTTCATGGCTGGTGTACCCACCGTATAGGAACGTCTTCCCACTGCGAACAATCAACAAAGCGTTCACGGCGTGAAAGGCAATAAGATGCGTATGTTACAGGATCGGTGACCAGTCTTGTGTTCGCTCGATACGTCGGGAAGCCCCGTGTAAGCACTTGTTTCCAGCGCAGAGGATCATCCGATGAAGCACGCTTGCTCATGTCGAGCATGAACACGTCGGCAAAGTACTGGGAGCCCCAAATTTGCTCTCAGCCCTGTTCGCCTGTGACGCTTGAAACGAGAGCGGGGTTGTAGCCTCCAAAGATGATAGCGCAGTTAAGACTGGAGTTCTGTGGAGCGCATGAGCGATAGTATTACAGAAAGCTAAACAAGACGCACAAAGACGTAGCCGGCTTCTGAGCGCGGGCAAGATGGGTTTCTCGATACTCGCTCAGGGGTCCAGAACTCGCCCTCAATATCCCGAGACCGGAAGTCATCTTACGGGTAAGAGACGCCAGCACCGTGTTGTTGACCGTTCATCGTCGCGCCACTACAATCAGCCTCACCACCGAAGAGGTATATCTTCTCGTCCGCATCTGTCCACAGCATGGCGTTCCCGCACGGACCAGGAGAGCGATAGTCTGCGTGTAGTTCCGCGGCCAGGGAGCTTTCGCCAATGACCAGTACACATATTGATGACGAAAAACAAGTCGCAACCCAGACATTCGTCACTATGCTTGCCTCCAAAGACGTAGAAGTGCTCGCAAACTCGCATAGAGCATCGTCTGTAGGCCATCGAGTACCTGGAACAGCAGGGGCTGCATCAACATGATGAATGATGTGGCGCAGGTTGTTCATGGCCATTAGGAGCGCACCAACCGTCTCAGACTTGAGCTCAGCCCCCCGGCGGTATGAGAGTGACGGAGAAGCCTCCAGGATCGTGTAGCCTGCGAGCTGATGACGGTTGCGGAGGAAGATGGATGCGAGCACCGCCAAGACTGACGCGTAGCACGTGAGGAGAACGTGGTCGACACCCTCCGTGTTGACCAGATGTTGCGTGCTCGTTTCTTGCTTCCCAACTTCATGTACTTTGAGGTGCCTGGGGAGACTTGCGCCGTGGATAAGCTATGCCAATGTGTTTTGCACGCTCTCCCATCCACCTATAGCATGAAGTAGCGACTGCACTTATTCGAATTCAGACCAGCACCCCTGGGACCTTTACCTTTGTCCGTCGTCTCGTTTCAGCCCTGACGCCGATGCAGACGCACAGCACGATGGCGAACATGAAGACAGCGGTAGCTCTGCAATCCGCTTCGGTGCATCTTGAACAGATAAGGTACTACCGGATGATGCTAAATGCCCTGAACACCTCTGGCCTCGAGGTGGCGGTAGACGAACTGAAGAATGACGCTGGTGCGTTCCCAGCTCATTACATGGAAGCTGCTGCTTACGTTCCTTCATAAAGTACATGCCGTCGAGGGCGACTATACTGAGGCCCAGTACGATGCACTGAAGAAGATCGACAGATACCTTCTGCCTTTTATGTGACTCTGCTGTCGGTACCTCAGTCTTCTGCGGGATGCCCTCTACTGAACCTGTCTGTCGTTTGTAGATGGCATCCAGCAAACGAACAAGATCGCGACCGGTAAGCAGGACGATCTGCACAAGACGACGCGTGCTTATATGGCGTACAGGTACAATGGTGACCTTCGGTCTTTGCACTCAGTGAGTGTTGACGTCGCATCAAGAGTCCTGGCACACACTGATTCCTCTCAGTACCGACCTCGTCGGACAGCAGTACTTGTGGCCGACGACGATCTTCTGTGAGTCCTAGATTTACAGGCTATAGAGCGTCTGCTGAACAGCCTGTCCATAGACTTCACGTACATCTGCTGCGAGGTTCCCCTCCAACTTCCTCCTCCAGCGCTGGCGCCTCGGCAGAACGCTCTCGATCTACATGATCTGCTAGGGCATCATAGTCCTCTGCATAGGCTTCAGTGCGTACATCGACTCTTTCTCTCCCCATCTCAACTTGTATCTGATCAAACGCGACAGCAAAGAACTTCAGACACCTCATAGCGCACCGCGCTCTCCAGGGCATCGCCGAATGCTGCATCAGCCCGGGATTTTTACTCGTCATCGGGAGCTGGTACAAGACGCGCGAGCATGCTGTACTTCTAGGTTCGTCTCGAGTGTGGCGAGTCATCAAAGGATCGTTATCTTATCTAATCACGAGCGATTGAGCACGAACACGGGCTTCGGCACGAACGCTGACTTGGTTCTGCATGGTATTGGCAGCCATCAGCTCAGACACCCCGACTTCCAAGCATGGAGGGTCATGGTATGGGTACGCTTATTCAAACATAGCTCCCTATACTCGGTCACAACACGCCCTATGACCAGTTCCTAGGTGGCCTAACAACAGTCATCGGAATCTTCTGCCTCTACTTCCTCAGCACACCCTCCGAAGTCCCCTGGCCCAAACCTTTCGAGAGAAACGCATGACGAACGCCTGCATCGTCAGAAACCAGTCCGGGAACGACCGTACGGGACTAGCGATGGGATTGATCTTTCGTACTGCATAGCGAACCTTCAGGTCATCTTGCTTAACATCCCGATAAGCTGCACATCTGTGCTCTTGCTCTTGATCGTTGGATTCAGCACAATGCGGTGGCAGGGTCTGCGTCTGGGGATCATGGCTATCGCGACTGTTCCGATGTTCATCAGGTTGCTCGGCATGTCTCTCATCCTTACCACTCCGCATACGAAGGTAAGCGGCGCGATGATCTTGATCATGACGAGTCCTGACTTCCGCGCGCACACAGTGGACGAAGTGGGGCATGTTCTACATGGTGAGTCCTAGTCGTCTACTAGCGACATCAACACCTACTCATACCGCTGCAGACCTTCCCCTTAGTCCTCGCACGTATGTGATCTCTCTGTGGTCACGTGTCGTATTCAAGAAGCTGTAGTGTTCCTTCGACTGGACGCACATCCCAAGCAACTTTCCCGGGTGTGCCAAACGCACAGTCACATCCTCCTTCACTTTCGTGACGTACTGTGTCGGCAACATGGTGAGCCCAACCCTAACTCGCCTCACCACACATCGAAGTGCTGAACGCACCGCGCAGGTCAGCTCCCAAATCTTCAAGCCGCAAGACACACCGCAATACATGTCAGGCATCGTAAGCTGCAGCGTCTGCCTCACTCCTAACTGTCTCGTCATCCTCAGTACGTCTTCTCAAGTACCACTCAACCATCATCTGTGTGGACATTTCACCAGATCCTCGTGGCGCACGATCTACGTACTGCGCAATCGGTGGTGGGAGCGCGAGGCGGCTGCCGTGGGTGTTACCGAAAAAGAGCGCATCGCGCAGGGGAAGCTGAACGGCAAGCTCGATAAGTCGGTTTTTGAGAATCGGCAGGTGGGTACTTATACCGTTCTGTTGTGCTTTCTTTCACACTCGCTGATCATTTGTGTTATCAGTTCCAATACACTCCGTAGAGTGTCATCATATTTCATGGGTACACTGGTACATATACATGCTGTAGACTTTGAAATTCTGTACAACACGACCGGTCTTACTCCATCCTGTGACCCGCGTCCCCAGCACGGTGCATATAGACTGAATCTTTCATCGCCTCTCCAGCATAACAGCGCCAGGAGACAGCGGAGTCCGCCCTCCGTGACACGTCTTCTCTCAAAGCACACCACAAAGGAACAGAAAGGAACCCGGTTGCGGGTCGTTGCTAGAGCGAAGATGTGTGTGCCACACTAGATGAACACACAGACAAGGAGGAGGAGGAGGGATTGAGAACAAGAGCACCCGCGCAGGTCACGGTCCAGCGCGAGTTCAGGGCGACCAGTCACCACGGCGCATTTCATTTACGCTTTACGAGATCGTGTCGGGGGCGAGTGAGTATCGGGCGGCGGCGAACTGCGTTGACATTGGGAGGATGAGATGTTAGGGTGTTAGCCGAAGAGTAGCGAGCGTGCGATAGGTTTGAGACACACAGCGCGAGAAGAGTCCGTTCAACTTGAATACAATGTAAACCGACAGGCGCTCTACTTCCGTGATAGGCTACATTCGAGCGTGTTTACAGACATGAGGCAACGGCGCGCTAGCGCCCAAGTGCCCGCATGCATCGATAAGCATGCTGCACCAGACGACGTCGGCCACCGTCCATAGTATTGGCGTCGGTATGTCCCCGATGTCTCAGCTACAGAAATAGCATAGGGACCGAGTGATATTTGCGTGCATTATAATCATACATGATACATCTAGAGCCTTTTCGGATTGAGGAGGTACTGCAGCAGCGGCTGCCGGTTGGTATGGTACACGATTGAGACACGAGGGGTACCTCTGAGAAGAGAGCGAAGATGGGCAGGTGAAGGACAGACGAGGGAGAGAAAGGGAATCCACATTGTAAAGGCAGCATCAATCTGAATTGAAAGTTAATGATGACGTGCTAATTGCACGAACAAGGTAGCGTACCTTGTCTATGACACGAACGGTTGGCGATTGCTGAGCGGAGTAGGTCAGTTTCAGTACAGGGGAACAGACGAAGCATACCCACAAGGGCTGCGGCAGGTTGCGAGCTCTCAGGTAGCCCCGAATCTCCATAACTCTTTCAGCATGGTGGACGGAGCGGCTGTCAAGCACACAATGAAGATGGTGAGGGAAGAGAAGGCTCGTGTGTGCATTCGACTATGGCAGTCAGAATGTTCGGAAATTCGGACCGTCCGAAGCGCGGAGGTGCACACCCGCTACGGCTGACGACGAGCAGTTAGTTAGCTGCGGATGAAATGCTGATCAAACGCGTGCAGTCTGGTGCATCGGCCTTTGAGCTTGTATACCGACCATCACCATCCTGGCCTCGCTCGTCGCCGCAATCCACCACTGGCCCGCCCGCGCTCGCTGTCCTTGATTCGTCCTTCAACCCTCCTACCCGAGCGCATCCTGCACTTGCCTCTGCGGCAGGGGAAGCTGCCGGC